GGTTGTCTGTTGTGGGGTGTGTGGGATTAGTGTCGTCCTCTGTCACCTCTATGATACCTGCAGTAAATTCTGCATTTTACGCTGATGGTTTTGCAGTCATGGGTTCTTGGTGGGGAAATGGAACAAGGTGAGGGACAGCTCACATCTAGATTATACTCCATCCGCTCTCAGTCTGGTTTCCTGAGGGTCTCTGATTTTCAGTATACTTTATATGTGCATGTTTTCATGTTTCACTAGACACATTTAATTGAACAATTAGGTAAGAAATATATTTGTGGTAAAGTGCATATCATTGTGTGATGATGTTCATGTATGTAAATGCAAGATGTTTTAATTTATGTACATGTGTGCTTTGTATGACCCTGGATGTGTAAGCTGTGTGTATGACTGTGGGTGTTTGTGCCAGGGTGTGGGACTTGTGGCTTTTTTCCAGAGGTGGCTGCCATGATATATACCAACCCACATGTTCTTTTTACAACATGATTTCAACTTTTCCCATAGAGAGATGGTCTCTCTTTTCTTCTCTTTAAATGTGGACAGACCTCTCTGACTCTCTCAACCCACAGAATATGGCAGAAATGATGCTATGTCTCTTCTGAAGGTAGATCATAAAAATACCATGCACTTTTATGTTTTGTTCTCTTGGGATGCTCATTGTTGGAAACCAGCTACCAAACTGTGAGGAGGCCAAGCAGCTACTAGAAGCAGCCGCTTGTCAGTGTTCTGGATGACAGTACCAGTTGAGGTTCCAACTGATAGCCGGTATCAACTGCCAGCCATGTGAGTGAGCATCTTGCCTTCATTGAACCATACCAGCTGACAGTATACAGAGCAGGGTTGATTCTTCCCTGCAAAGCCCTACCCAACCTGCTGTATAAATGATTATTGTTTTGGGATGCTTTGTCATACAACAGTGGATAACAGGAACAGGGCTGTACCTTTGCCGTGTGTGTGTGTTCCTGTGATTTGCTGCCCTTGTGGATGCCTCAGGCAGTGCATTTGTGTCAGATGTCTGTGTACCTAAGTGGGTGTGTGGTTGAAGGTGTTTCTGTAGACAGAATCATGGTTCTTGGGGTTTTGCTTTGGCCTCAGTGGGAGCTGTTTGGTAAGAACCCTTTGAAATCTTGACTGTCTTCTAGGTCTCTTCTTTTGAGTGCTTTTCCTTTGAACTAGAGAGGCCTGTTTAGCTGAGAGCAAATGAGGCTTAAATTTACTGACCTTTTCTAGCCAAAGCCCTGTGGAGCTGCCAAGGCCTTCTAGCAGGTGAGAGGCTGCCATACAGAGGCTTCACATCCCTTTTGTAGGGGTATTTTGTTATTTTTCCTTTTCTGCTAATGAGGCCTTCAGAAATTAAACAGAGACAGGGCAAAGCACAGTCACTGGGGTCCTTGAGGTTTCCTGCGGTAGAGATACCTAGAATTCTTGTGTTCTACCAAGGAAGCGGCTTACGTGGGCTCAGATGTACCCAGGTTTCAGTGTAGAGATCATCTGGTTTCCACTGTGCCTTGGCTGCTGCCACCCACTCCATCTGTGTGGGACCCTGGTTCAGATGGCCAGTTCCTCTTGGTCTCCTTGGCAGTGCCCCTCAGCTTCTTGCTTCTTCCATTTCGGCAGCTCTCTTCAGCTTTTTCTGGGAACACTGAGAGCTCTGGTTTCACATTCCTTCCCTTGACTGCCTCTCAGGACCTCTAAAGTACTATTGTCCAATAGAGCTTTCTGTGATGACAGAACTGTTCTATAATCCATGCTGTCTGATACAGTTGACATTATTCACATGTGGTTTTTGAGCACTTGAAATGAGGCTAGTGTTATTCAGGAACTGAGTTTTACATTTTATTTCGTTTTAATTAATTTAAATATAAATACTACATGTGGCTGTCAGCTACCATATTGGGCAGCACAGATCTGGTGGGTTCAAAGAGTTTTGTTTTACATGTAAAATGGGAATAAATGTTGCCCTGTCTTACAGGGCTGTCTGGAGCAAACAAGATGATGAATGGGGAAGAGTTTTACTCACATAAGGGATTTGGAAACAAAGAACAGTGTAAACTGAGTGGGCCTATTCTAGTTCTGTTAATATTCTGTTTTATAGTCCTTGTTGCACTGTGTTGATACGATCTGTTTACATTTCTGTATCTCTTATCTAACTCTGAGCTCTTTGAGGGTAAGAACCCAGTGGTACTATTTCACAGCTCTATCCCCATAGCTAACAGCTGGCATGTAGCTTGTTTTTCATGTTCAAGTGAGTAAAATGTCTGGAGTCCAGAAGGGATTTCTGGCAGCAGAATTTAAAGTGTATGGTGGGGCGCCTGGGTGGTTCAGTCTGTTAAGCGTCCGACTTCAGCTCAGGTCATGGTCTCACAGTTTGCGGGTTCGAGTCCCGCATCAGGCTCTGTGCTGACAGCTAGCTCAGAGCCTGGAGCCTGCTTCAGATTCTGTATCTCCCTCTCTCTCTGACCCTCCTCTGCTCACACTGTGTCTCTCTCTCTTTCTCCCTCTCTCTCAGAAATAAAAACATTAAAAAAAAATAAAGTGTATGGTGAGGGGCACCTGGGTAGCTCAGTCAGTTAAGTGTCTGACCTCGGCTTAGGTCATGATCTAATGGTTCACGCGTCCAAGCCCCGCGCTGGGCTCTGTGCCGGCAGCTGGGAGCCTGGAGCCTCTTTCAGAGTCTGTCTCCCTCTCTCTCTGTCCCTCCCCCACTCGTGCTCTGTCTCTCTCTCTCTAAAATACACAAACATTAAAAAAGAAAAAGAAATAAGTAAAGTGTGTGGTGAGAGCTGCAGGGGAGGGGTACAGAAAGGAAGAGGAGGCGGGATAGGACAATTTGGTGATGAGACAGAGCTGGGGTTCTTGCTCCCCATGCTCAACATTCTAGGCCAATCCAGAGAGAGCAGGGAGCCAATTCCTGCTGTCAGAAATGCTTTCACACAACTGGGTATCAGGCTTGTGGGAGCTTGACTGAGAAAGGCTGATCAGAGGAGAAATGATCTACTTAACACATTTTGTTGAGGAAGGCTAGATTGATCATCTAAATCTCTTTCCTGTAGGGCTCTGGGGATGGGTGCTGTGGCTTCCTTTGATTGATGGTGGTCAGGTTGACGGTGATTTCTCAGGCTCTCTAGTCTTCAAAGCTTTTGCTCTTCTGGGGAGTGGAAGAGGGATCTTAGAAGCTCTCCAACAGAGATGCAAGAAGAGGTGGCTTTTTGTTTGTCATTTACTTATTTAAAAGAAAATGTAAAACTTATTTCTGCTCAATTCCCCAAGAGTAATACAAGGAGACAGAAAAGAGATTTCTGTGATCCCACCACCCACTTGGATTCTTGGACCTCAAATTACCACCTTTACAGTGGTTGTTCTTGTTTGGGGGCCAAGAAAGTAGGGGCTGTCTGTTCAGGCCCAGTCCAGCACATTGTTTTTGGCAGCTGAGGAGATGAGCTCAGAGCTAATTCTCCTGGGAAGGAGGTTCTCAGGGTTTTTCAAGGTTTTTTTTCAAGGTTTTGAGGACTGGGGAGAGTCAGAATTTCCCTTCCCCTCCTTCCCCTACAAGCTGGTTAGATCTCTCCCAAGAAGGAAGCCAGGTTCATATGTGTTGGTTGTTCTGTGTCCAGCTGGACTCTTCTCTTGGTCCATGCATTTATTTATTCATTCTATTATAAGCTTGAGCTTATTCTATTTATAAGCATAATACTCTTGTAGCACTTGATTAATATCTTTTTATAACATGTGTCAGGCTTGATTGTAATTTATATGTTCATTCTGTGATTTATCACTGATGTAATAGATATTTGTTGAACATTTGTTATTTATCCTCATGGTACTAGGTAGTGACACAAGCTAGAATTATTGCTGGGCTACTCTTGCTAGCTATGGGTATTCCATAGAAAAAGTGAACTGTTTCCTGTCCTTTCCCACCCAGTCCTAAGGGAAGTGTCCTATGTAGAGCTTTCTTAAAAACTGGCACTACTCACTCAACTATTTTCCAGAGGCTTGTTCTCCTTCCTCAGACAAACTGAAGTTTGCTCATAGGTGCAGTTTTCCATCTGTTTGAAGTAAACATAATCAAGTAAGTATATTAACTACTAGAAGCCCACATTATACCTGAAAAATGGGAGGGGGAACCCCAAAACTTGAGACAGGTTGATTGCTCTTGGGGAATACCTGCCGTTTGCGGGGAAGTCACTGCTTGTTTGGATTGTCCTTTTCTCCACTCCTGATGGACCAGGAATCACTGTGACTGGACTCTCAGGGCCTAAGCGAGCACTCCATTTTACCAGGAAGGTTAAATCACTCTGGTCACAAGGGGAAGGTCTTATCATGGAAAAATAACAGGGCTTGGGGAAGCACTCAGTCTGGCTTACTTTCCCACTTCTTGACTATATGTCTTTGTACAAGTTGAACTTCTTTGAGCCTTAGCTTCTCCAAGTATAAAAAAGTTCTAATCTTACGAAGTTGTGAGAAGTAAATAAATATGCAACACCTGGCACATGTAAGCTATTAAGTGGTCGAGCAGCATTTGCATTGTAGGTTACTTTGAAAATAATTGGTCATTGTTAATTCACACAGTACGTAAGTGTATAAAGTAGATGATTTGTAGGTGACCTATCTGCACGAATTTTCAAAGGACTATTTAGAGTTTAAGACTCTTGGATTTATCCCAGAAATCCGACTACAAAGAAATTAGACTGTTGGGAAATCAGAGATGAAATTTCGAATCAGAGATGAAATTTCGAATCAGGGATGAAATTTTGGTCTAGCTTGGAAGCAAATCCAGCCCCGCGGGTATCGCCTCCATAAATCTCTCACTCACGCGGAGGATTATGGGGAAAAACTGCCCTCATCTGATACGCGCCAGGAGGCGGGACTTAACAGAAGCGGGGGAGAAAGGCGGGGCTGAAGAGCTTCGAGAACAGGAAAGGGACGGAGGCGGCCGCTCGCCGTTCTGGAAGGCAGCAATTGGGCGAGGCAGCGAGCGACGTAATAAGTGCGCGCTCACAGGTTCAGACGGTCCCCGCGGCGTCTGCGCGTGGGGAGCTGGTTGCCGCAGCAGCCGCCTGGAATTGTGGGGATTGTGTCTGCCCCTCGGCTGCCGGTCGGGAAGCCGAAGGTAGGGGCGGTGAGGGCCGCCCGGCCCTGGAGCTGGGCGGGGGATACAGGGCGCTGTCCGAACCTCCTCCCACCAGCGGTCCCGGCGCCTTCCCAGCACTTGTTCCGGGGTCCCCACACATTCCGTCCCTCTCCGCGTCACACACATCACGTCCCTCCAAAACGGGACGTCCAAGTGGGCCCTGGCGTCAGCCCAGGAGTCGCCTTGCCTACATTTTGTGCTCAGAGAGTCTCCAGTAACTCTTTTTAAGTGCTAGGAAATGAGGCGGTGGGCGTTCCAGGATTCGTTTTTGATTCTGCATTTTTTTTAGTTTCCTTTTCTGTTCCGTTTCTCCTACCCTCAGTTTCTACATTAATCGCTCCTTTGAAATTATGGTTTTTGGCAGAGGTCTAGTTGCCCTCCACACGCGTTGCATTTCCACTCCTATCTTGTGTTTTCCTTTTTCCTGGTAGACCGAAGGCTTTCCTTTGAAGTACAGGTTACAGCCCTTGTTGTTTTTCAAATCAACTAGGAGGTTGTGTACATCCCTGGGCTTTAGTCAGTGATTTCCGTTTAAAGTGGAGCATGGGCACCTTCAGTGCTTCCCCGGTGTTTCTGATTCACATGGTCCAGAAATCCTTGCCTTGAGATTCTCCTTTTCAGAAGATTGGAGGGAATCCACTGACATTTGAGCCCCTGAAATGGGGTTCTGGAGAGTCAGGAAATGCCTGACATCAGAGAGGCCAGTATGGGGTTTCTTTTCACAGTGGAAGCTAGAGGGCCGGTTGATGTCATTAAAAAGATTAAAAAAAAAAAAAAAAAGCATGTATATTGATCACCAGTATGTGGTGGTCAGCTCAATTCAAGCCCATCTGGCTTTCTGACCTCAGTAAAACGAAACCAAACCAAACCACAAACTGCTTTGGAGGATTAAGCCGGAGTGGGTAGGCAGAAGGAGTCCTCCAGGTTTGCTAACAAAAGAAAGTGATATATTTATAAACATTAACAGTGTGTGTTTTGACAGTGTAAAAGATGTTTTGATATATATTGGTGTGTCTTTTTACCTCTCACTGCACCCAAGCTTGCTTGCTTTTCTGATGAAAGTATAGCCACATTTGGGGATTGGATAGGATTTTGATGGGAGCCGTGGTATGAGGATATTAGGTTTGATGTTTGCATAAATGGATCAATTGAGAATGTAGCCCTTAGGTTTTTAAGAGGGTGTTGCCACACCAGATTTATTTTGGCTTTTTTTGGGTTTAATGAATTTAATCTGCTAATTAATACATGTGTTGTTATGATGAAATTGGCTACAGAAAAGACTTAATGCCCCCATTTTACAGATGGTGGGAATGGGGGATATATTAGTTCAGCTGTGGTAACCCAGAAATGAAAAGTCGCTTTGTTCTTGGATTCCTGTTTTCTTTCCCTTCTGTTAGTCTTTGAAGGCTGTTTATTACTCACTTCTCTGCAGAGGCCAACTTTGAACCGTGGTGTGTTTCACTGACACACAAAAAAGGTTAATTAAGTGAAACTGAAAGGCTACAAAATGGGTTTTATAACAAATGTGCCAGCACTTCATCAGTGAGTGTTGTTCTTTAGAGTGGTATATGTAGGTGTGAGTTGTGGAAGTGTGGCTTTACTTAAGTGATGTGGTTGCTGTCCAAAGTAGTTTTGAAAATCCATATCTGAAATTGTTTTCAGAGACATTTTTGAACCATGTTAGCAATCAACTTCATTAATACATAATACTACACTTTTTTTTAAAACCCCAAATGGCATGGTTAAGCAACCTTGTTAGCTGACTTGTCTTCAGATGAGTAAAAAGTTATTTTGAAGTAGATATAATAGATTTTTGGTGTGTGTTGAACATAAGTTTTGAATCTGATTCTATCACTTATTAGCCATATGACCTTGGACAGATCACCTCTTAGGCTCAGTTTTCCACTGCATAAAAATCAGAATATTGGAGCACCTGTCTGTTGCAGTTGGTGGAACTTTTGACACATCTTGGTGCTGTGAGTTCGAGCCCCATGATGTGTGTAGAGAGTACTGTATTTAAAGATAAAATCTTTTTAAAAGATGTGAATACTTACTTGGAGGAGTGATTAAATGAAGTGGAACACATTAAAGACCTAGAAATAACAACTGTTTACACCATCAAAGAATTAAGATTTGCTAGTAATGAGAATATTTTTTGAAGAATGAGTCTAAAGGCAAGTTGTACCTTTTTCCAAATAGGTCTATGCCTTCCAGTTTTCTGCTGATTATCATTGTGGATTAATGCTCTGACTTCATCCTACCTCTTGTCTTCGTTTTCATTCATTTTCTGTCCTTTCCCAAGTGAGTGAAGTTGTGCTGCAGAGGCTGTCTGCCAGTCTCTTGGAGTAAGCCTCTCTTCAGGAGAGCTAATCTGACCATTCTTACAATGCTAGCCCCTTGGTCATGTGTTCCTGGGGATTTTTCTCTAGGTTCTTAGATCACGCTCTGTAGCACAGGCATCTCTAACTCCTGGATTTGGTGTCAATTTGGAGACCTGTCCTTGTGAGGCTAATCTTTTCTTTTTATGAACAAGGATGAATACTTTATCCTTCTCTGAGTCAGCCTTAAGCTGCAAGCCTTAGTTTTTCACAGCATAGAACTTTGTATTTTAATTATATGTGGTCTAAAGAGGCAGTATCCTGCCCTTTTCTTCATTTACTTTGGCCAAGGGCTTCACTGCTGAGTAGAGGAGGAGGAGAATAGCCCCTTGCCATTCAGGTGGGCTTTGAGTAACCCCTGATTCCTAGCATCAGCAGTAATTGAGTTTGCCTTTGGGGCAAAAACCTTGTAAAACATAGAAGCTGCTCAAGACATGTGAAGAATCTCCCAGAATTTTACTGACTTATGAAGGGCTTACATCTGGCATCCTTTCTTGTGCTATTTTCCACCTTGGAGACAGAATCCATGAGCAAAACAATTATGTTAAGCCCAAACTTGTAGTTCCTTCAGGTTCTACCCGGCAGCACATGGAGTAGGTGTGGTCGTGTTGGTTGGCCAGTCTATCCTTGTTCTACTAACAATGCCTTTGGTTTTGGTGTTTGAGGCATTGAGAAGCATCTTAGTTATGGGCTGCTGTAATGGAACACCATAGATGGGTGGCTTAAACACAAACGTTTATTTCTAGAGATTGTACCTATGAAATCAGGGTGCCGTTATGGTTGGGTTTTTAAAGGAACTGGGTCAGTTCTTCAGACATCTTGTCAACCTTTTGTTCCTTATCACTTTTTGAGATTTTTTTTCCCTAATTGCCCTCCCCCCCGCCATGGAATTTTAATACCACAGATATACTATGTATCCATTTATGTACTGTGGCTCTTTGGAGGACCATAAACTTATACTATCTAGGAATTTTCTAACTCAAGAATCAATCCCCCCCCCAACCTTGTAGGGGGGTGACATTGTCTCATTAAAAATGTATGGTCTAAAACAGCCACCAAGGCAGGTTTTAGATCTAGAAGACCAGGTATTACCATACCAACCCATGCTAGTGAAAGGGGGAGAACTTTTCTCATCCATTCTTGATATGAGCTTTATGAGATAGTTGGTATTATCCCCATTTTACAGATGAAGAAATAAGCTCAGTGAGCTTAAGTAATTTGACTAAGGTCAAAAAGTTTGTTGACATTAAAACCCAGTTTGACTCCAAAGTGATTGCTCTTGGACTGTGCTACTCTCTTCTCACCAGGAGTCTGTTGTCATCAGCAGGACATTTGACCATTCACCTTCTTTTCACAAGGCCCTCCTAGATGCCAGGCCCAATTGAAGATGTTGAGGACACTAAAGTGAGAAAGAGTTCCTGCTATTGAAGAGCTCATTGAGTTTTCCCAGGGGGGATGCCTTAACTTAGACTGTCACTGAATCTGGTTTTACTTCTTGTGAGATGACTGGCGATAGTTAAGGGCTTTCATCGAAAGATTTGAGCTAGTTGGCCTTTAGGAGGGTCTAAGCTGTGAATATGTCCCTCCTAGTTCCATCTGCCAACCAGCTAAACTGTTTCTAATCACTGAGCCTGTTGTGTAAAGTATGTAACAGGCTCAGGAAACTCCTTGGCCATTAGATGCTTGTAAACATGAGGATTAGTAAGAATGCCATTTCTATTTTTCTTACTGTTATTGCTAATAATTTAGGGCAGAAGTTGTTTTGTCCCTTTCTGAAGTTATTCCATATTGTCTGGTTTAAAACCTAATGCCGTTATGGGGCACCTGGGTGGCTCAGTTGGTTAAACGTCTGACTTCGGCTCAGGTCATGACCTCGCAGTTCATGGGCTCGAGCCCCACATCGGGCTCTGTGCTGACAGCTAGCTCAGAGCCTGGAGCCTGCTTCAGATTCTGTGTCTCCATCTCTCTCTGACCCTCTCCTGCTCATACTGTCTCTCTCTCTCTCTCTCAGAAATAAATAAAAACAGTAAAAAAAAAACAAAACCCTAATGCCATTAAGAGAATTGGAGAAGAAATGGAATATGTGTGAAGTGGAAGGAGGAATAATTTTTCCTGGATTTCTTCAAAAGGGCTGGAATTAAGTTTAGTCTTTACTTTTTTTTCTTTTCCTCCAAATCTTGGACTTTTGAGGTGTTCCATTTACCATCTGTTCCTCTGTTGCCTCTTTGGCCTTCTTTTTTCACAGCTGTGCCTGCTGTGTTGGCTCAGGTGTTCCTGTACCAGAAGTCAGAGCCTTTGGGTAGTGTCTGATGTTTAGCCCATGTTGCAGGCTTATCCACAGAAAAATCGGAGGGGGTGTGTTTCTGAGGTCTATTTGCTGGCTGTGTCTTGACTGAGGGTGTTGTTGTGCCTTTTAATTACCACTTATCATTCCAGGCAGAGGAATATCACAGCAGTCAGTGAACTGATCCATGTCTAGCTACTGGCCTTTCTGCAAGTAGTGTGCCTCTTCTGTCTTATGACAGGGAGGAGTTCTAGAAACTAAAAGAAGACTCACAGATGCATGTCATAGGTCATGTGAGGAAGGCTCATACCAGTGGACTTTTAAATGGGCATTTCTTTCTGTCTGGGCATAGTTTCATGCTTTTGCCTCTCTCTTTTCTGTGTGGCTCCCAAGGGGTCATCTGACCAAAGGGGTCAGCAGCCATCTGACCAAATCAGGAAAACTAGCAGGCTTCAGTTCACTGGAAGTAACATAAAGTAGGACAGTCAATACAGACAACATTGATTGGCCACACTTTGAATCCAGTGGGTGGTAGACATTGGAAGCTTAAGGGGCAAGCTCCTAAGCAAGGTATTTAAGATTGATTTTTGTGACTCCCCCCATCTCTAGTCATGGGGAATTGGCTTTGATTGTATTCATGAAGCACAGTCTCTGTCCTTGGGCCCAGCTGCTCAAGTCTGAAATCATGGTGTTTATGGGTTGCAAGAGATCATTCTAGAGGTCTTTATATCAATTTTATTGGAAACCTCAGAGCTGGGTCTGGCTCAGATCCAAGGAATGGCTGTTGGTGGTTTGTTAGTTGAGTGAAGGGTCAGGAGATAGCCTTCTGGTTCTGGCTTCTTCCAGTGGTTGAGTTTTGTATTTGAAGGGCTCTTATCTTAATGATGACAAAACTGAGCTCCAGAGAAGTGAAATGGGCTATATACCTTTTTTAGGGCCATCAGCATATTACTGGCAGAGCTGAGACTCAAGCCAGAGGGTTCACAGAGGGTGGCCATAGAAGTTGTTAAAATTATTTAGAGTCTTATAAAGATGCAAGATGCTGTTGCAGTTAACAATCTCCAGGGAGCAGGGAGAAATCTCCAGGGAAGGATAAGGCCCCACCTCTGCTGACTGGCTTATTCCTTATCTTAGAACCCTCACTGGTGAGGTTTTTGGCTGTCATGCTGATTTCTTTCCTATTCATGTTCAAGTGTGTTTTCTGTTGATCTTACCCCAGAGGAAATAGATTTGAAGCTTCCCCCTATTTCTGCACCAAAGAACAAGTGCTCAGGCCAGGCTGCTCTGAGTATGTTCTTAAAGAATGGGGCCAGTGTACCAGTGGACCTTATCTGGTCTTATCAAAGTAAACCTGTAATACATCACTAAAAGAAAAAGAGTGAGGGAGTGAACAATATGTCAGAGTGGTTTAAAAACATTCTGGAATCCGCTCACTTGGTTTCATATTCTGCTGTTTACTTACTATCTGTCAGATCATGGATAAGTTATTTATTTTCTCTAAACATTAATTTCATTTTCTGTAGAATGGGAATGGTAATAGCTACTCTTTTTTTTTTTTTAATGTTTTATTTATTTCTAGGAGAGAGAGAGAGAGAGACAGCGTGAGCAGGGGAGGGTCAGAGAGAGAGGGAGTCACAGACCGAAACAGGCTCCAGGCTCTGAGCTGGCAGTCAGCACAGAGCCCGACGCGGGGCTCGAACCCACGAACCGCGAGATCATGACCTAAGCGAAAGTCAGACGCTTAACCGACTAAGCCACCCAGGCGCCCCGGTAATAGCTACTCTTGAAGCTGTCTTGAGAATTAATTGAGAGAATACAAATGGAGAGTGCCTTCTCTGTCACAGTCTAAGTGCTTTGTATTTTCAGTCATGTCAGCAACTGTAATTTCTATTTCCTGACCCAAGCCTTGGTTACAGGATAAGTTAGGTTGACTAAACAAGTTTTATCTTAACCATCACATCATTGTCTCATTTGTTGGCTTATTATTCCTATCAGTAGTCATAGCTAGCTCTTGCTCAGTAACTAAAAGTCATGAATAGCAAGGAACTTTGAAGCTTCTCGGCCATCTTCTTCCTTATTTGGCTTAGTTCTCACCTTTCTGGGACTGTTTTTACTTGGCTGCTCTGGCCAGTGGGCCTTGCTTTCTGGCCAGTGTCTGATATGGGGATGTTAATGGAGCAGGGGTGGCTGTCCAGAGTCTGCCTGGGGCTCTCTGATAATATGTTCTCCTTGTCTCTTGCCTTCTCCTCAGCCAGACATGAAGCAATTAGCTTGTTACGGGAACTTTGACCTCTGTCACAGCTTTCTTCTGATTTGTATGCCCATTTCTGGTCCTTGTGCAAAGTCAGGGAGGCATAGTCAAATACAGTGACCTGGATTTAGTGCCCAAGTTGACTCTCTTTGAGATTGACAACTGGTTCAGTGTAGCAGTGGGGATGGGAGTGTGGAAAAAGCCCTGGAAGCTACTCCCCGTCTTTTTATTGATCTCAAGCTGATTTTTAAACAAAAGCTAAGTATCATAAGTATAGATTGTGCCTTATGTCTCTGAATGAAACAAATAGGCTAAAACCTTATGATTTGTGGGGAAAGAGCAGTCTGAATTGGTTAAAAAAAGAGAAAATTTTAAGAGTCTTTTCAGAGAAATGCTTTTGTCTTAGATTTTTTTTTTAAATGTTTTATTTATTTCTAGGAGAGAGAGAGAGACAGCATGAGCAGGGGAGGGTCAGAGAGAGAGGGAGTGACAGACTCTGAAACAGGCTCCAGGCTCTGAGCTGGCAGTCAGCACAGAGCCCGATGCGGGGCTCGAACCCACAAACCGCGAGATCATGACCTAAGCGAAAGTCGGACGCTTAACCGACTAAGCCACCCAGGCGCCCCTGTTTTAGATTTTTTGGCAAGCCTCTGTAGTATCTTTCTGAAGGAGTCTTATTGGTTCCCCTGTTTCCTGTAACTGCTTCTGAGTTCTTATGGGTGCCTTCTTCTATACCTATTTTGGTTTCCTTTAGGACATTGTGTACCAATTCCCCTTGGGGTATTCCTAAATATAGTGTTGATTGGAGAAGAGTCATGCTAAGAAGCCTTCAGTGGCACTACCTGACTGCAGCTGAATAAATTCCAAATGTGTCAGTTGTCCTGATGTTTCATGCCTATCATGGTGTATCCCCTTCCTACCACTTTAATTATATCCTCCACCATTGCTCACGTGTACCCTTTGCCCTTGGTAAACTGGTCCAGGTGGTTCTCTAAACATGGCTCCTTTTAGGGTCTCCGCCAGTGCTTTTGCCCAGAGTCCCCTCTCCTTAGTTTCCTACTTAGGCTGCACAGCTTCCTTCTTCAGTGAGCCTTTTGTGATACCTCCTCATCTGTATCCCCATAGCAACACTTTGATTATAGAATTTAGCATACTTTATCCTGGTTATTTTGTCTCTTATTATATGAGCTTCTCAAGGACATGGACTCTGGTTATTTTGTAGCTCCAGCATAATGCTGAGGATAACATGGGCATCTATAAATGCTAGCCAAATGAAGGGATACATGAAAGTCTGAGAAATGGTAACAGTCCTGTTCAGTTCTCACTTCTTTGCTGAAGCATTCCTTGAACCCTAGTCACAGTGACTCTGGCATAATCAACTCCCAGAGCCTTTTGTGGAAATCTTATCTTCCCACCTGGTTTAGAAATTCCTGGGTAGGGGCAGAAAATGCATCCCTCATTCCTTTTTGTGTACCAGCCCCCAGCAGTTACTGGCATGTGGAGGATGTTTAATAAGTGCTTGTGAATGAGAGAGTCCTGCTCTTTGTCAGCTGATGTGCCTACCAGTTGATCAGCCTCCTCTGTCAATCACTGGCCAGGGGTCTCCAACTCAAAGGTTTTTTTCAGAGCCAGGTAGGGAACATTCAGTGTGAGCAACATGGGATGGTATGCCTGTGTCAAACTGGAGTGTTGATGTGTACCATGGGGGGCAGCTGCTTGCTACTCAGCCTGTTGTCATAAGTGAGTGTGGCTCTAGTGTCATCATCTCCTATTACAAGACAAACCAGAAATCCAGATTTTTATGTGAAATCCCCAGGGAATACCAAAGTACATCTCTGGTCTAGATTTGACATTGAGGCTACCCATTTGCGATATATTTCAGTTCCTTATAGAAGAAGAAAGGGAGCGAAAGATAGAACCTGAAAGCTTTTGAGGGAGTTTTGTTGAAAGCCTAGCTTTGGTTGAGAGTGTCCTGTAATTTTCTGTGGGTAGTGACTTAGTCTTTTGAGTCAAGTCCTGCAGAGACCACCTTTGTTTTGCTTCATCCTCCCTTGCATTCTGTCCTTAGAAAGTTGATGACCTAGAGACTTAGATGATTTTTGTCCTTTTGCCCAGCCTCTGCTGAGGCACGTTTGATGGTTGTTCTTGTTTCTGTCTCCTTCTAAGGGTTTGGTGGTCGGCCTGGTATAGACTGAGTTCCCAGAGATCATTCCTGTTAATGGCTTCTCTGAGGAGGAGTTCGGGTGAACTGGCAGACATGGAAGGGAAGTATATATTGTACAAAATTATTGCCTAGATGTGGTTAGTCAAGGGGCAACGCAGCGTAATAGCCAGGAGGAAATTGGTACCTCCATGGAGGCTTTTGCAGGACAATATCTTACCCACTCGCTGCCCTGTTCTTTTCATAGTCCCTAAGAGCCTCTTGCAGAGCTTAGTTGCTTGGCAAATTTACCTTTTAGGCCTGAAAGTGTTGCCACCAGCCTATCTCCATCTGAGGCTGAAATAAGCTGATGGGATTACCTCTGGAAGAATACATGAGAAACAAAGAGTGGTTGTCTTTGGTGAGTGGCCCTGAGTGGCTGGGCAATGAGGGGAGGAGGGAGACTTACTTTTCACTGTATATAAGCTTTGTGCATATATTGTCAGTTTTTTTAGCGAGAAAGCCTGCATGTGCAGAAAGTGCAGAGGGAGAGAATTTTAAGCACAGTTCTTGCTCAGTGAGGAGCCTAATGTGTGGTTTGATCTCACAACCCAGAAATCATGACCTGAGCTGAAATCAAGGGTCTGGATGCTTAACCAGCTGAGCCACCCAGAGGTCTCTGTTTGTAATTTTTCAGATATCACTGGGCAGACCCAGGTGTAGTCTCCTGTTAACATTTTACTCTGCCCTCACTGTCATTCTCCGTAAACACCTAGAACCAGTTACTGTAGACTGTCCTTTGGAGGTGACATCCTTGATCTTTGTTTCACAGAAGTGTCTTGGGCTTTCTCAACCAGAAGTTTTTGGAATAACAAGCCCAAAGTATGCTCAACATTTTACTGTTTTTAAAGGGCTTTCAAATATTAAAAAAAATTTTTTTAAACATTTTATTTATTTCTGAGAGAGAGACATAGTGTGAGCAGGGGAGGGTCAGAGAGAGAGGGAGATACAGAATCTGAAGCACTCTCCAGGCTCTGAGCTAGCTGTCAGCACAGAGCCTGATGTGGGGCTTGAACCCATGAACCGTGAGATCATGACCTGAGCCGAGGTCGGCTTAACCTACTGAGCTACCCAGGTGCCCCACAAATATATTCTTTAGAATAAAGTTTGTTTCTTTATTATTTCTGAGGAGAGAGAGCATGTGTGTGCACACACAAATGGGGGAGGGGCAGAGAGAGTGGGAGACATAGAATGTGAAAGCAGGCTCTAGGTTCTGAGCTGTCAGCACAGAGCCTGAGGTCAGGCTAGAACTCCTGAACCTGAGATCATGACCTGAGTGGAAGTCCGATGCTTAACTGACTGAGACACCCAGGTGCCCCAGGGCTTTCAAATATCTTATCTGACCTGTACAACATCCCCATTTTATAGAGGTGAAGAATTGAGGTTTGGAGAGTCTGAATTACTTACTGAGGGTCCTCCTTCTTGTCAGGGTAGGGCTCTGACTAATCCAGGTAGCCTTCATGTTCCTGCCCCTTGCTCTTCGTTCTTATGTCAGTGAGGTAGTCATCCCTTTTTGGAATTCTCTTAGAGGTTGCCAGAACTGTGTCAGTTGGGGTCTTCCCCCTTATGACTCTCTGGAAAAAGTGGTCAGTAGCAGGTTTCTCCATTTTCTAGTTAGGTTAAGCTAAGGCTCCACTGGGGCCATATCTTTTAGGGAAGCCTGAATTAGCAAAGCTTGAATCTTCTCTGAGTATTATTGCTGCTGTTAAGCAGAGGGCTTTGTTTCCAGGTTACAAATCTTTTTAGCAAAGAAGTAAAGTAAAGGTGGAATAGAACTGGAAGGACTCGTGTTGTTCTTGGATATAATTTAATGCTCCATATCCCAGAGAGAGTAAACATTGTAAAGTGTGCAAGATAGGTTTGGATTAATATCCTGACAACATATGGCTTGGCATGTAGGGCACTCCTGGGAGACCCTTCTCACCAGGCTTAGCCTGCTTTTGCTGGGTGGCCCCTTCCCACAGGTCTTCCCAGCAGCTGTTATGCACCTGGGTGACTCATCAGCTTTCCTAAGGTCATGGGAAAAAAACCAATGTTAACTGTTAAAAGCCTTCATATAGGAGGTGAAATAAACAGGCAGTCCTGAGAGACCAGTGTGTTTTAGTACTACTTAGCTTCCCCTGCGTTTGTCCTGGGTAATCACTTCCGTTAGAAACACTGGCTGATTGTCACTGCTGGTCTCTTCAGAATACAGCAGTGAAAATCACCTTGCCCTTTCTACTCTGCTGCCCCTGAAGTCATAGGTGTATAGGGTCTCTGAAAGCTCTAGATAGGCAGTGGGCAACATGGAGGGAAGGCTCAGTTGCTTCTAAAGACCAAGCAGAAATCTTTGACTTTTTACTTTTTCTATTTCTACTTAAATCAGAATTAGGTTACCTGCAAAGAGGATTCTGTGTATTACTGACAGCTCAGAGTGGAAGAGGCTCTTGGTACCTCTTTTGCAGTCTCTCAAGGGAACTTATTGTGGGCATGTAGAGATCATGCTCGGGTTGTCTTTTCCTCCCCCAACCCTGAGGTGCACTATACCAAGAGAGTTGCCCCAGAGAGAGGTACAGGGTGTTGCTGGCTGGCAGCTTTGTGGGTTTGGAACCTCAGTCAGTTCACCCAGGTTTAAGTTCCAGTGGGCTCTCTGAAGCACATGAAATTGATGAGACCATAAAGGTACAGTTCTGGTTAACTAACTCTAAGAAACTTGTCTAGTAAGTTGATATGTGTGAATAGGTAGGAACATTGTTTCCTCTATAGATAAGGTTAGCTGGGAAGCCACCTCACCCCTAGAGGAAGTCAGGGTGAAATATGGTGGAAAATTTTGGCCATTGCCATCAGATATAACCAGATTTAACCATGTATTAGCTATGAGACTTCAGAGGAGTTATTTAATCTCTCTCTTCCTATGTCTTCATCTGTAAAGTTCCTTGGAGTTTTCAGATATGCACACAGTATCCATTCAGTATATGTTTTGTACCTGTACCATTTAATCACCTTTTTCCTCTACTCACAGCCTTATACTTTTAGAGCTATTTTTGTATCCTGGCTGAAATATGCCAGTTACTCTGTTAGGGCACTAGAAATGTGTATTTGAGAGAGACTCTGTTTAATTCTCCGGGTACCTTTTTGTGTATTCTTTGCAGACCACAGCCCTTCTTTTACCACAGGTTACGGTAAGAACAATTAGATTCTAGCTCTCATCACTTGGTTCCAAAGGAGTCTTTGTGGTTATTGTTCAATCTACAGTTCTTTGCTAAGACCCACTGTGTGTCACTTACTGCTTGGCCATGGAAATTTAGTGGTGAGTGAGACAGATCTGGTCCCTGACCGTAGTAATATCTCTCTAAACCTCTCCTTAGATGGGTTACTTCTTTGGGTGACCAGTCTTGTTCATTCTTTGTTGATTCATACTAATTTGCTTCTGAGAGCGTAATCTTCTCCCTAGACCTAGGGGACAGTGCCCCTTTGTGCTGCCTGGGCCTTGCCTGCTGGCTTGCCTGCTCTCAAACAATGAGAGCAGCGTGCTGAGGCTGAAGGAGAAAGCCCCGCAGGCTACTACTGCCTCGGCCACACATGTCCCAAGAGCCTGTACTTGGCACTCTTGAATGTTCCTTTTCTCCTTGCACATAGATTATAGTGTTCACTGGTAATTTAAATTCAAAAAACCTTCCGCCCCCTCTCCGCCTTAAAAAAAAAAAAGGCTCTGTGTATTACAGGGTAGAGAACAAAGCAGGCCAGCCCTGGTTTCCTGGTGGGGTTTGTTTTATCACGTGTATTTTTATGTAGCCTCACCATGGGTTACCTTTAGTGTAATAAGACTAATGTGTAATTCAGGCCTATTGACGATCTGCCGTCATAGAATCTCACATCTTTCTCTACCTTGTTTTTCATAGTGTGATAGATTTAGGGGTTTGGCTGACAGGAAGTTGGACTTGATTCTTCACTTTGGACTCCAGACTGTATTCTAGCCTCTAGTGGGCTCTGCATAAAGAAGGGCCAGCAGCCAGGTTGATGGATTTCTCAGCTTCAAAGTAGGGGCCTGAAGATAGCCTCTCTTCCCTCCTACTTCTCTCTTGTGAGTTTTACCAGCACTTGCTAAGAAGTGTGTGTGGGGAAGCTGGCAGAATTGCTCTCTGAGAACCATTTATTTGAGAACTCCCAGCAGAGAATTGCATTTGCCTCTGCTTTTCATGCTGTGGTGGTTGGCCTTGTGATTTGGTACTGCTTGTCCCTGCGTAATACAGAGGCCTGTGTGTGACTCCTGTAGCCCTATTGGGGTTTTCAATGATAAATTGCTGGCTGGCTGGTCTTTCTCCGTAATTCTGTCACTTTCTCAGGAGCAAGGGTGTGTGCCAACATTTAGGGACCTGTTTGAGCCTCTCTGTCTGGCATGGTGGTTGAGCCCAGAGGAGCCGTGTTTCCCACTGCTGCTTGGGCTGGACATTTGCTGTAGTTGGATTTAGCTTTAACCATCACACTAGAGGCTTGATTGGAAAGAAGAGAGCACTGCATAATTATTGCTTATGTACCAGTTAAACCCATCAGCCAACAGATGTCAAGTGCAGGAAAAAAGTGCAATAATGTTATTATAATGGCATAATAGTTATCATTATAATAATCAGCTGGCATAGCTTTTGATAAGAGGCAGATCCTGAAATCAGTGCAGGGGGAATGGTTAACCTTGAACTATAGCACAGTGAAGGGGTGCTTAACCTTGTAGGAAATGCTGTGTGGATGTATATGATTCAGGTATGGTGTCACTGCCCTTTCTGCCTAGCTTGATGAGGTGTGAAGACTTTGGTGGGGCTTGTCTGCCCTGCAGTTACTATCTTCTTTCTCATGGTGCTGTGGAACACACGCCACCCTTTGGTTTAAGGTGCGCTGGGTTGCAGGATTACCATCCCAAGCACCCAGTGCCAGTGGGTTCTCAAAAAGGTGGAGATTAAATCCCTGTGGGGCCATTTGGAATTTTCAGAAAATCCAGCCTCATCCCTGTAGCTACAGATGATGAATTCCCCTCCCTGTAGCAAACTGCTCTGTACCTAGGGCATGGTGGTAGACCTCAGTTATGTACTTGCTTATTGTGGCAGGTAGGAGTGCTCATGGAAGACAGCTTTTACTTACCCAGGGAGCTCTTTGGAACTATATTCCCATTCTGGTTAGGAAGGTGGTGGTGAAGGGTTGACGAGCAGAGCTGGGTTCATGGGTGACCCACAAATGCAGCTCTGGGGTAGGAGAAGAGTCTTTGGATTCAGGCCAACTTGAGTTGTTGACTCCTGACCTTGTCGTTCATCAGCTGTTGGACAATCTTGCTGATCCTCAGCTGCCCCTCTGTGTATGTGCTCATTTATTTCTCATTGTTTTCCCTACCAG